CTTATTGGTATTCCAGATGACTTTTTCCCCTAGATGTGGTACTGAAGTTGGCCTGTGAGGAAGAGCACATGAAGATGATGGTGAGGAAGGAGGTGTTTGAACTCTTGAAAATCCCTCGGGAGCTTGTCCACTTGAAGAATCAGGCATGCAAGGTCTCAGAAAGGGAAGAAGAGGGTGAGCTGTTTTTTGCAGCCACTCTCACAGGTGAAAACCACACTGCCTGTGGCTCAATAATTCAGGTGAGGATCCAGCAGAGCCTCTCTGCATAGCTCTGAAGCTGTGAGAGGAGCAGATGTGCTGAGTGGGGACAGCAAGGGGAAGCCCCAGAGGCTATTCCTTTTGTATCTGGGTGCTGTAAGGTTCTCATTCCCCTTGGAAGGTTTCCCTGGGGGCTGTCAGAAACCACTTCTGCCTCCACCAAACCCCTCCTGGCAGCACATCTTGTCTTCTTCAGCAGAGCATGGAAGTCTCAGAGTGCTCTTTACTAGCAGATAACAGCCCTTGGCTTTCTGGAAGCATCCTCTGAGCTCTGCAGCCCTGGTCCCTCACTCGATTCATGGGTCATGGAGAGTGCAGAGGAACCAGTGTCCAGCTCTGCATTGCACAGGAGGGCCCTCAGCCATGGTCAGTATGCTGACTTCTGACTACGTGGGTGATGGTTGCCAGTAGCCCATGGATACAGGGCTTGAGGAAAAACCCCAGCAGATACCCAGGAGGCCTGGAGCAGCTATAGCTGAGTGTCATCATCTGAACTAGAGCTTGGAGGTCTCTGTATGGATGTAGACATGGTCTAGAGACCTGGTTTCTGTGTCGTTTCAGCAAAACAGCTCCCACATATCATACTCCAATGTCATTGAGTCAGAGCGGGAAGCACGTGGGGCTGTGATCTCCCGGAGTTTTCAGCTGGACGTGCATTTCTCCTGTGTTTATGCCTACGAGCAGGTTGTGAAACTGCCCTTCGCTCTCACTGCTGTTGACAAGTGAGTGGTCCCTCTTCACCTTGCTGCTGATGTGGTATCTGTGAGCTTGCAGAAAAATAGATGCCTTCAATTAGGTGATCTGCAAAGGCTCTGGGGAGCTCTGAGAGCAATGCCACATCAGGGCACCTCCCTTTCTCTTACCAACATAGTTTTTCAACACAAGGTTTGGGCCTGGGACAAAGCCGAAGAGGGGCACACACAATCTACCTTTCTCCTGTCCTCACTACTTGAAAGCAGCTAGCCAAAAAAACAAGGGTGGGAACTGGAAGATGCCCCCGCAAGGCCTCCATGGAGGTACAGGTTAGGAGGTGCTGGGTTACCTTTCTTGTAGCCCTCCTTGGCCAGCTGGTCAGTGGGAGCCAATGGAGCTCCTTGCCTCTGTCCGCACGTGGTGTGGACATACCAACCAGGAGCAGGGGTACATCCAGAGTCAGTACACCTCTGCCAGTGGCGTGACTTGTGCTACGTCCTCCTTGCCTTTGTGTTCTGCTCATGAGCTTTCCTCCTCTCCTCTCAGGTTGGTGCAGTTCGTGGTCAGAGAAGGACACTTCAATGTCAGCATGAGACTGTACAAGACCCCCTCCTACCTCCAGCCCTATCACCTGCAGACCACAGCCATCCCCATCACAGACACGCTCTATGTCCTGCTGAAGATAGAAG